CCTCTACCACCCCAAAATCCACTTTCCAGATGAGAGAGCCTCCAAATAAAAAAAATCTTCAGCGATGACAGCCTAGATAAGTACAAGACACAAGACACAGACACACCTACATTAATTTTTAAGGAAGTCTGTAACAGCAAGTAACAAAAGTCTGAATACTTCAGACAACAACGCAAAGTAAAATGAAAACTTACAAATCAAAAGGCAGCGGTTTGTTTGGAAATTCCTTCTGCTTTAATTTCAACGAAGGAGCAAAACTGTATACGTAGTTGGGCACTTTGGAACCTCAATCAATTTTGTTTTCTCAACCATCATGAGAGAAGATAAAAAAAAACGAAAAAGTTGTTTAAAGAACCTATTTCACGCAGGCAACGGTCGACAGATATATCCCATCCAACTTGGCTAAAAGCGACAGAAGATGGGATAAGATGCTCTTCATTATCCTTGTAGAACTGCTTTAAGCAAAATGTCCTAGCACTGAGAGCTGAACTAAAGCGTAAAACCTCTTAAGAAAGAGCTAAAACAGCACAATTAAAAGCTAGCTTAAAATGAGGTAATTATGACAATGAAACATAACTTAAGACCTCATTTTGACGCGCAGTTTCTATTATTACAAAAGCAAAACAAGGTAGCTAAAACCAGTTACCTTTCAAGCCTGTATTTGGCAGAATCAATTACTGTACCATGTTGGAACAATAAAAACAGAAATCGATGAAAACCAGTGCCTCTAAAAGGAACTGCTTGTAGATAAGGTACTTCCTCACAACCAGAACCAATAATTTTACAATTACTAATGTTCGATATCATCCAATGCAGCAGTTCAGTTCCCTCCTCATATGGGTTACCGTCCAGGTTGAGAGCCAAAAGAGTATTGTACCCACCACTCAGTGGTTCAATTTCAACCTGTGGCCTTCTCTCTGTAAGTAGGAATCATAAAAAGTCTAAATCAGGAAGAAATAAATCACTAAGATTAAAATAAATCCAAAGATTGTAATAAATGACTTAAAAAATCTAAGATAAAACAAATATACAGCAAATTTACCTGTGACTTCAGCAGGCAGAATATTTCCTAAATACACAACATCATTACCATAACTAATCTTCATACGCTGAGCGTTGTTAAAGAAAACTTCTGTCTTGAACAACGATTCAAATATACCAAAATGATTAAGAACCGAGTGGCAGTAATGATCAACGATATTTAAATCGACCACAACTGAAATTGCTCTGTACAGCAGCACTCTCGAAACCGGCAGCATTTTAAATAGCTTATGCTAAGTAGAGCTAAAACCAGTCAGTTTCGAATGCTAATCTTTATAGCCTGATTTTGAATCTCGACAGTTAACACAAAGCAAATCAAAAAGAGCACTTACTACCGTTCAAGAAAAAGTTAACCATTACTTTTCCTTCTTTGAGCCTGTTTTTCGATTTCTCTGTCAGCACTATTTTCGGAAATGAACTGCGAGACTCGATTTTTAAAGCCGATGTTACTTCGCGTTAAATAGGTATCTGTAAAACGTTCTCCAGAAATAATGAGGCCCAAACAAACACTGTTCAGGCAGTTCGACAAATACCTTTTATTCTTCCTTCCAGGGTTTGTAAATATGCGTCTGGGTCAATAATATGCAAATGTGGCAACTTCTCAGGTCTTTCTATTCGTGCTTTATACCACTTATCAGCCTTGTAAAACCTTCAATTTTATACCTTTACCAAAAAAATCAACGAACAAAATAACAGTTGGTGTCCAGTACAAATCATAAAGCAAGAAGCTCCATTTCCTAAATGCTGTTGGAAATAATATTTCTGAACAGCGGTCCTGACTGAAGATGAAAGAAACAATCCTCAAGAAAATTTTTTAATTTCCTTTTTCTGAAAATTCTTAATTCATAGCCGACAGACACTACCTTATTTTGCAAAAGTGGGTCTGAGCAACCAACTCTCTTTCTAACTATATGAAAACCAACAAAATAACTCGCCTCTGTAACTTCCGTCAAAGCCCCTCCTCAATTTAATCCAAAGAAATTATGTGGGGGAAAAAGTGAGAAATCATCAAAACTCATATTTTTTAAAGCTGATTATAGAAAAAAATGTGCACTAAAAATCCGTTATTCAAAAAATCATGGAAGAAGGTTCGCGAACTATTCACCAACCTATTCCGATAAAATGCTGCTGGTCCTGCCCAAGCAATCACATGCGGTCTTCTATGACGACTAACACGCGGCAGATATCTTGCACGATAAGATCCCTTTAAATACAGCTCAGCATATATTGAACGCAAGTGCCTCATTTTTAAAGCTTTTCCAAAACAGTGACAAACATAGAAGTACCGCAACCCACTTATACTACTTGAATCAGCTTCTTCTGCAAATAATGTTCATCAAAAACGCCTCATAATACAAAAATGATGGCACTCCGCCGTTTTCAGTTCAAGAAGCCTCCAAACCCTTCTCTGCCTTGTACTCCAGAGAAAAAAAAAAAAAAAACATCAGTTCAAGTAACAACAACCTTTTATAGCTGGGATTTTAAAGTATGCATGTTCCCGCAGCAAGGTTCTGATCTAGCTAAGTACTTCTTTAAAAAAAAAAATACTAAACTGTATTTTCTCCTCCAAACTTTTTTGTTTGAAGAACCTCAATTTTTAAGAAAAATGGCGGCATAGCCCACACCTGTCTTTGTTTTACAACTCTAGCTTCTAACCTCAATTTTGTAATTTATTCTGTAAAATTTAATAATTTACCTTCTCGACCCCTCCAGTCAGTACACAAATATTTCTGCAATTTGAGCCTCCCTTACTCATAAACGAAAAACCTTGAAAAAATTGCAAAGGACAATCAAAAAAATTACAGTACTACTTTAGGAAATGGGCTTGGGATGTGGCTGTCCTCACCGTTCTTTAATGAAACCCTATCCATAAAGGAAAAAAAAAGTACTGTCCGAGTACAGTAACAATGACTGCACTCTACTTTGATTTTTATTTTCAAATTTCAAAAATAATTTTTATAACATAAAAAAAGCTAGAAAGGCTCCAGTACCTTTCCGCTTTGAAACCCATGGACAAACCTCAGGGTTATTTTCATACATTTTTAAAAACTAAAGGAACATCTTCAAGCCCAATTTCCTTATATAAGATTCTGTGGTAGAAAGTTCTCCCAGATCCCCTTTCAAATGTACAAAAAATTTTTGGATTTCAGAAACGACAGCGGAGAGTAAACGAAAACTGGAATTATGGTAATCTGGACTAAAATTAGTTTTGAATTTGGTTCACGTATACAGGACATTTTATAATATTTCTTATACTATAAGTTGTATTTTCAAACAAATAACGTTACGGAAACATGTACGGCTGCACGATGTGGATTAACCTCAGCATACGCTTGAACCTTCAGTGCTGGTCCCACATCTACAGTTAATGGGCACGCAAAAAGCACATTCTGCTTTTAAAATGTTAAAATAGAATTTCTTGTCACTTTCTTAAAAAAAAAAAGAAAAGATCATGTGAAATACACATGGTAAAAATCCTAAAATGCAAAAAACAAGGGCCTACAGCTAGATAATTCAGTTTTAAAAGATCCAGTTTGCTGGAACGAATATTTTTACAGAGGGAACCTTCCGAAGCTTTGGCAGGTTCGTTCACAAAACGCGCATTAGTATAAAAAAACTTAAGAAAACGCTTGGCTTCGCAAATCGAATTAACGTGGCTGGATAGCCATTCTTACAGACTTCGCATGGCTAGCAGATTCGCGAAAGAAAACCTGGAGATACTAAGATTGTTATAAAACGATAGCACGTCATAACCATGCTAAGCCTTAAATTCAAAAAGCTGGGTTCGTTCCAACAGATCCGCATTTCGAGTTAGTGGGATTTTCTGCAACAGATCTGAATCGAAGCGCCCTACAAGTGAAGAATTCATTTTCTTCGATAGCAGCAGTCGCGTTAATTTCTGTTTGTTAATTGACGAATTCTCGCGGCAGGACTGGAATATCGGTAATGCAGCGGGTTCGGCGACCTATGAAAATGCTGGCTTAAGTTCAAATTAAGCAGTCTCTTCTTGGTTTATATTGAGGGATTCGTAAAGACTTTGACATACTTTGTGGCTACAAAACGGTTGCCAATATTTGATGATTTGTGAGGCCATGTCAAAATATTTGCTTAGATGACACATATTAGCTAATTTCGTTCATTACTACTTTCATTAATTCACTTGCGAAAATAATTCTGTATTGCACGGAAACTGCACTTTTTTCTTTTTAATTTCTACTAGGTATCGACGCGTTCATTTCCAATTTGGTGTGAAAATATTTT